CCCCCCCATTCCATCCTTGCCACAAGGAATGAGCCAAAAATGGAGCGCACGGAGGTCAAAAACAGGGAGTGCGGAAGCTGAGAATGGGATGCAGAGGCTGAAAATGGGGCGTGCGGAGGCAGCAATAGGCGATGGCAATCCCTGAGCCTGAAACAGCTGATCATTGGGAGGCAATTCCAACTGACAATCAGCTGCTTGTGCTAATTAGGCTGTGCTGAAGCTGACCAGGCTGTTTGCTGTTTGCTGCAAGGAGACAAATGGCTGGGAGGCAGAGGCAGGTTGGGTTTTCTTTGTTTTCCTCCCCAAAAGCTAGGTGCTTCTTATACTTCAGAGCATCTTATACTCCGAAAAATATGGCATGTGATTATATTGTTTTCCATACTGTAAAAACCATGATTTATGTCTCAGTGCATACCTTGTTCAATAAACTATGGTCAAGTAAATTATGGCTTAGCATGATATATGAGAGAGCCATTTTGATGTAGAGGTGAAGGCACTGGGTTAGAAAGTGGGGAGAGTGAATTCTAATCCAGCCTTAGGCACAAAATCAACTAAGTAACCTTGGATCAGTCAGTTTCTCTTGGCCCTAGGAAGAAGGAAAGGGCAATTACTTCCTATCCGGCTGCCAAGAAAACTGCAGGGACTTGTCCAAAGAGTTGTCAAGAATCAAGATTGACTTGAAGACAAAAACAAAACAAGCAAAACAAACAAACAAAAGAATATAAACCTAGCCATTTAATTGGTCTGTCTCCACCTGACTACTTTTACAACAAAGCAGCGTTTCTTAACCTTGGCAACTTTAAAATGTGGTGATGCTGGCTGGGGAATTCTGGGAGTTGGAAGTCCGCACATCTTAAAGTTTGCAAAGTTGAGAAACACTGCAATAAAGTGAGTTTTTAATTTAGTTTCATTAACAGGAATGGGTTTCAATAACCGACATGGTTCTCCCAACCATTTTATCTCACGGCAGTCCTACAAAATAGACCAGGAGAAAGAACAGTTCCAATAGAACATATATAGCTCAGGGTTCAACAATGGAGGCCTCTGAACTTCTGGTTTGCTTGCAGAAAACAAGTTTAGAGTCATTACCTGACTAGGTAAGATCATCAGTGCGAATGAGTGTGTGGTCTACTCCCTAATTATATGCAGAAGTTTGTCCTGCCAGTTGTGGTTCCCCACTGAAGAATAGTCTCACAGTTGAAGTTATTCAATGAGCTTCATAGAAAGTGGGAGACTGAGCCTCAGGCTTCCTCATAACTAGCTCTAACTGCACCACGACACCAACTCCCAAAAATTCTTGCAATATCAAAGCTTATGTTCCTGTAGCTGCTCAATATCTGACAATAACATACAAAGAAATAATGGCTAGCTTGAAAAGAAGTCTGGACAATATTATGAAATATGTTGTTGGTTTGAGCTCCGAGCCGGAGGTTTGCTTGCAAATGTTTCGTCCCCATTCAAGGAGACATCTTCAGTGCGCTTTGGATTGTGCATGTCTGGGGGAGCACTGAAATCAGACCAGGACTCAGAAAGGTATTTAAAAATCAGTGCTCCCCCAGACAAGCACAATCCAAAGCGCACTGAAGATGTCTCCTCGAAGAGGGACAAAATGTTTGCAACCAAATTGCCAAGCTCGGAGCTCAAACCAACAACGTAACTACCAACCCAAGCTACTAATATTCAAAGACTTTATGAAATATGGCTGCAAATGTTGTGCCCCTTTCCCCTGCTTACATTTGGGTCTGCCTGTCAATCTTTAAAAAGACTTACATGGCCACCCATTTCAACATACAACTCGAGCGGCTAACAATAGCCTAAAACATTTAACTTGTGTTCACCTGCAATATTTGGAATTATACATTTCAACTATCTATTTGAATACAGAATAGCCTTTTTGAAAGCCAGATTAAATGGGTTGTCATCAAATATCCTATATGGTAGATTTTTTTAAATTCCCATCTCTCAAAGGTTTTGCGCCTTAATGGAACCTTAAACCAGTGGATTATATTTTTACTGCATTGTGAATTTTATGAAAGTTTGGAAAGAAGTTATTTGGACTATTTTAAAATCTATGCCAGGAAGAGATTCTTTTGAATATGCAAAAACTGGGGTCTTCAGTTCTACTATGTAGTATTTATTAAATATTCTACTTGTTATATCCATTTGATCTAATGCCAAGTTTAGATTATGTTTGTAACGTGTCTTGGGCTTTTTGGCTGTAAATAAAATTGACTGCCTGCATTTAAAATACCAATAATAACTACAATAAATACACTGATTATAATGACAATCAACTTAGGTTGCCCCTGCACTGCAACCCCATCACCTTGCTTTGTGAGTGCATCTCGAAGAGCAGGGGTGATCATCTCTCTTCTCTCGTCCTCCCCTCTGCCATGTTGAGTTCCAACTCCAATGGGAACCTCTCCGTTAGTCTGATGCTCTTTCTGTGCAAGAACAACAGATTCTTTTTAAAGAAAAAAAGGAAGCTGATTTGTTCTGCTCCCTGTTCTTCACGGTTGGAGAAATCCTTCCATTAAAATGCTATGAAATTGCTACAGCTTTGGCCAGCTTTCATAGGATGGCATTTTTACAATGGATTGGCTGACAATTATGATTGTTACTAGCAACTGAGACTTTCAGCAACAGAAAGAAGTGTGACTTCTACTGCTATCGCTTCCGGGAGACAGCAGCACAACAATAGGGTAGGTTGGGCAGTGGTAGAAGTGACATCTAGCAGCATATTTTTGTTCTGATCCTAGAAATACAAATAGTTCTCAACTTACAAAAGGAACTGTAAGTTCAGTTGCTATGCGATGAGTTGCAAAGAGTAACCTTATTGCTTAGCAATGGAAATTCCTGTAGTCCCAGTGGCCTTTGTTAACCAAATCCCATCGTCATTAGGCAAGACAACTTCCTGCCAGCTTCCCACAACTAAGTCAGTGGGAAAGCCAGCAGGAAGTTGCAAGTCTAAATGGGTTACAAAAGGTCAAAAGGCTGACTGCTGCCAGTTTGGGGAGGGCATGAGGCTGTGAGAGGGGGTTGGAGAGGATCTATGGGTGGCATGGGGGGTTGAGGAGGATGTGAGAGTGGCCTGACAAGGCTTGGGGAGGATGCAAATGGCCTGTACAGGGCAAGAGCAAAGGAGCTGGGAGAGGATGCACAACTGGGAGAGATTACGCCCAGCAACTTCCAAACTTCCCTGCCGGCTTCCCCACTGACTTTCTGGGAAAGCCAGCAGGGAAAGTTGCAAATGGCAATCATGTGATCATAGGGCTCTGTAACTGGTTGTAATTGCAAGCCAGTTGCCAAGCACCCAGATCACGCTCCTGTGGAGCTCCGAGGACCAGTCATAAACCACTATTCATTCAACACAGTTGTAACTTTGAATGGTGACTGAATGGTCAAAAGTCAAAAAATACATGTGCAATCAGAAAGGTCTTTGGATCAAGGGCAAAGTTCTCCTTACCTGGGATTTCTTCATTTGGTCCATCACTTTGCCCAAATCTTCAACATCCACAACCTGATCTGCACCTCTACCATTCTCTGTATCAGATTCCTCCTCACTTGTGGTTTCAAAGAAATCCTCTTCCTAACATGCAGAACAAGGGAAGAGAAAGCACAAGCCATGTTTCCAATCTATTCCATTCTCTAATTAATGAGTTATCAACTGAGTTGTCCTTATGTCCAGCACTGACACTCTTTGATGCCTTCTCCAAAATTGGTCAGAAGTCTGTCTAGCAACAACCAGCATAATCCAACTCATAAAAGAAGTAGACCTGGAAGAGACAGATTCAAAATCTGCCTTTTCCATGGGTCATGCCTATAAAACTCAGAAAACTAAAAAAAAATCTTAAAAGGATCTCTAAGGTATAATGTGGTTTGTGTCTGATTTTTGGCTTTGAAAACTATGAATCAATCATAATGGTTGGTAAACAATGATTTCTGTCTTAGCATGGAGCCCAACCAATTCTGATTTAGCATGCAAAGTGTATAGCGTGTAGTAAACCCAGATACGATGAAGCACTTACAAAGGTTTCACCTACAGAACAATTTCTAAAGTGAACTATCAGCATGACTGGCAGGAAAAACATAGAGAGTCTAGCAGTCAAAGAAATTATTGACTATGGGAGAGGAACAAAGGCATGGAGAGAGAGTTGAAGGTTGGTAAAATGAGTAAGAAGAACATTAGGCATCTGTTAGAGACTCTTCCAGCAGGATTCCTACATTGAGCAGGATTGGAATCAGCCCCTAAATAATCCCTTTTTTTAGGAAATTTGATCCTACAGCAGTAAAAAAGAGGAAATAATAAGAAACAGAATCATTGGAACAAGTGAATGAAGAAAATAAATCTGAAGCACAAAGGAAATGGAGTAAGTGTGAACAGCAAAAAAAGAAAAGGCGGAGAAAATTCTCAGAGTTGTGCTGTCCAAAGAAGGGTAAAAGAAGATCCCAGTTTGTTCTGTAATACATATAGATGAGGTTCGTCAAATAAAAGAAGCAACAGAGCCAAAATTCTATCATCCTCTCCACTTACTTCTTTCTCCGCATGCTCTGAGGTCTCTTGTTCTTTTGCTTCTTGGCTCACTTTTGATTTGGATCTACATTGCTCTTTTTTGCATCTCCCACTACAGGCCTTCTGTTCCCCTTTGGCAAGAGCTTGAAGCCTCATGAGCAACTTGGCCTTCCAAGCCTCAAAATCAGCCTCAATGCTTCCATGCTGGCTCTTCACCACATTGCTGTCTCCTCGAGCACATGACAAAATGCGTCGAGCACCCAGCATCCATAGCCACTTGTCAACATTCCTGCTCACCTGCAGAGAAAGCAAGAGGCAGAGAGGCAATGTTTGGGTCATAAAAGGCAAACGATGCTAATCATAATGGACATATTTGGAAAGTTCCAAGTTTAAAGGAGTCTGTCCCACCTTTTTCCTGTGGTATCACTTCCATCACCTCTTTTGTCTCTAAGCCCACTCCATATTAAATAGCAGACTCGGGAAAGGTATTAGAGGAAGTAACTAGAGCAAGTGTCTTCAAACTTGGCAAATTTAATTGTGGACTTCAACTCCCAGAATACCTGGGCTAACATGAGGAGGAATTCTGGGAGTTGAAGTCCACAAGTCTTAAAGCTGTCGAGTTTGAAGACCCCTGAACTAGAGAATCAAAGAGAACACACACATTTTTCTATCTGTTAAATGTAAAGATGCCACTAATCCAACATGTAAGACAGTCACTACTGGATATCTCATAGGCAGAGTGACAGAACAGTGAAAAAAAATACTCTTCTGGCTATGTAACTTTTTTTCAGCTGTCCCTCTAACTTGCAATTTCACCACATGTTCTTTAAAGTGAAAATAATGTTCATGCTCCACTATTGTATTTCATGGCTTTCCACTGATTCCATATAATTGATTATATTTGTCACTTGTTGAAAAGAAAAAGACGTTGAAATATCACCTGGTTTGCTTTACAACCCTTGTAGAAGTGGTTGTAAAAATAACCCTGGTCTTATGGTGTTTTGACTTATGACCACAATGACTTACAATTACAATTCTGAGCTCCACAGCAGTTGTAAATTGAGAACAACTGTATCAATAACATGCACAGATATTTTTTTTAAAGGAAAGCCACACTCACAGTGTTGAAGTGGTCAGCATACACTGAATTTCCCAAACCGAAGACAGCATATCGCAAGCCCTTCAGATATGCTTTGCCAACTCTGAAGTCATTGGCCGCCTCTTCCAGCCACTTGCAGAACCATGCAGCATTCTCTGTTGGTTTGCCGTCAGTGTAAGTGGCAACTAAGAACACGCAGATATTCTGGCTGCTTATCTGAACAGTTAAAGGAAAGCGGGTTTGTTTGTTTTTTTGGTCTGTCACAACATTTAAATCAACCATAGTAAAAAAAGAGAAATGCCGAAATTTCATTCAAAGTAATTCATCTTTGAAGAGCTTGGCCCTAACATCAGATGAAAGGAATTCTTCCACTTCTGCAAGCCACTAAAGCAGGGGTCTTCAAACTTGATAGCTTTAAGACTTGTGGACTTCAATTCCCAGAATTCCTCCTCCAGTCATGTTAGTTCAGGAAACCTGGGAGTTGAAGTCCACAAGTCTTAAACTTGCCAAGTTTGAAGACCCCTGCACTAAAGGATATGAAACTATTAACTGTTCAATATATTAGTAGTATGACATTTTTCATGCAAGAATGTTTTGTAGCCTTTTTCTCCTCAAATAATCCCAAATAACTTCACTATTTGGGATATTATTCTCTTTTGATGGAGGGCAGACCATTCTGGAGAAGGTCCATCGGGTCACTAAGAGTTGATACTTACTTGACGACATAGTCAAACAATTAAAATGTTATTTTGTTATTGTTGTCAACCATTAGGATATTCTGTCTATCTAATTGGTCCATCTGAAATCAACCACACTTTAGGCAATTTATAGAATGTATACAGTAAAAACAGAATACAGGTTTAGAATAAAATTAAAATAGCAACTAGAGATTCATTTATAGAACTATGGAAAATCACACTACTGTGTACACTTAATCAAAAAGGTCCTTTAGAAGAGCGATTTTTTCTGTATCTGGAAAGCCATAAGGCTGGAGGTAATTGTTGTTTCAGGGACATGTTATAACAAAAGTAGGGTATTGCTATAAAAAATGTTACTATTGACCACCATATTTCTTGGGAGATTCTTAATAGGCTTCCCTTGATGTCCAGGTAGTATGGACAGAAACTAATATGGAAAAACAATATATGGCTTTAGTGACTAGCACTTTAAATTTCATTTGGAAATCCACTGATAATGGTACAGCTCCCAGAGCAGAGGTATAATATACCAATAATGTAATTGAGTCTGTATGCCGATGCCTTTTGAATCACATGAAATTTTGGTGTGGTTTCAAGGCAACCTCACATAGAGCAAATTGCAGTAATCTAATAGAGAGGCTCAGTTTGGTTAAAGGCACTGGGCTAAAAATTAAGAGATTTAAAGTTCTAATTCTGCCTTAGGCACAAACTCAGCGGGATGACTGGGCTGGTCATTTTTTTTCAACCCTAAGAAGAAAGCAATGGAAACCATTTCTGAAAAAAATTGCCAAGAAAACAGCATGGACTTGTCCAGGCAATTGCCAAGAGTCAAAATTGACTTGAAAACAAACAAACAAAAAGAAGATAAAGGCATAAACAACCATCCTCAGTTCACCCAATTCCAAGAAAGGTCTCAGGTGATGCACCACCCACAGCTCTCCTGGCCACAATTTTTACTTGTTCTTAAAGCAGGCACCATCAAGCCATGAGGACCCACAGATGGCATTCCGGCTAAAAGAGATGAAGTACAAACCTCATCTATGAGAGAATCATCTGGATCATAATCTTGCAGGTCAATAATTTCTGCTGGCAAATTAATGGAGGCAACAGCTTCAGTAAGTACCAGTGCAAACCGCTAGAGAGAAAGAGGAAAAAAACAGTGAAGATCTGTTTTATATAAAAAAGCTACACTAGGTGGATTCTGTGAGTGAGAAATTGCTTCAGTTTTATGTCTTGCAACTTTTCAGAGGTTCTTGGGTGCAAGGCAGGGAGATGCTAAGGTTTAGCACTGAAACAGCAGCTTGGTCTAGTACATAATCCCCACCACTATTTAAGAACTGAGACATCAGGAGAAACCCAAGAAGACTAAAACCTTAGAGGCTGCTTCCAATATTTGACAGTGGGAAAGCACTGAAATGGATGGACTCCGGCAACTCTTGTGATTTGTAGATGCCCATACATAAAAATTAATATATCTAAACTGGAAGGAAAAATCTCCACTCTGAACTGGGCTCAGAAGGACTCAGAAGTGGGAGCTCATAAAAGCAAAAATGGCCAACCTGCCACACACAACCTCTCAAATCTTTGGGCATAATTCCTTCTTATCAAAATCAACAATAATGCCTTTCAAGTGGAAAAATTCTAAAACTATAGTGTACCCTCTAAAAATAGGCCTACCACAATGGAAACAAAACACCAATCTCTCCATGACCCTCAAATACCATTGCTCTCTATGATCAGCCCCCCACACACACTTTGCTTATCAATTTTATATTGTGGTCCTTGTCTTCATACTCTTGATATAAAGAGACAGAAATGTGGCTCTCCCAGAGGACCTTAAAAACTCTCTGCACCACCACATTGGTTTGCTGAATAGTTTGCGATACTGTTCTCTCGTCTGATACTGCACAACTGCTACAAATGTCCCAAGGGGCACTTTATTCCCCAATCACAACCCCAGTGAGTTTGGATGGAAAAAGAGTTATTGGCTGAAAATTATCTGGACAGTATTAGTATTGAATGAGGATTTGAACTGTAATCTCTGTATTGCAAATCTAATACCAGAAATGCTACATGACACTTGCAACTTCAAGGCAGGAGTTATGGATGTAGTAGCCAAGAAGCCTCTAATTTTGATCCAGTTGTTGAGTATAACTATTCACTACTTAAGGAAAGATTGGACAGCACTTAAATTCCCTTTCTTATGTCTTTTCTCCACTATCACTACCACTTTACTACACCCCAAAACAACCTCGTATTCAAATTATTTATTTATAAGTAACAGATTTTCAGGGCTCAAATTAGGATTAAAAAGGGCCGAGCTCTGAAGATAGGAATTAACCAAAAACGTATCTGAGTGGTTTTTTTTTCCTCCTGAAAATGGTCAATTGTCTCTATTCAACAAAAGGAGAAAAAAGCCATGGGTGCAAGATAAATTAATTCACCTCTTGCTGGATTAATGAACTATTTACCTTTGCTGTTCCAGTCTGGGAACCATAGAATACCTTCACTCCAGCTACATGGACTTTCTCAAAGCTTGGATCTTGCTGTTCTTTTTTGGCAGCTGTGATTTTTGAAAGGTTTAATTCTGCAAGGCGAGTTTTGTTCTACAAAAGAAATATTTAAACAACAGTATTTAAATATTTAAACAAAGAGTCCCAGAAATAAACTTAGTCTCTTTTTTCCTGGTGCCATTAAATAGTCACTTTACCCCTCAATTCAGATGATGTGTACAAGTTAGAGAGATAAGTCAGTTTTGTCTAAGTCAGTTTTCTCTTATAGAGGAATACATGCTGTTATATGTGAACATTACATATTGCAAGTTACACCTGAGAAAATGAAGAACAGAAGGGAATCCATGTTTATCCAATATATGAACTATGCAACGATTAGTTATATAACTACCGTATTTGCCGGCGTATAAGACGACTTTTTTGCCCTGAAAAACATGCCTCCAAGTGGGGGGGTCGTCTTATACGCCGGGAGGACTCCGACTCCCACTTCGAGCTTGAGTTGCAGCCGGGAGGGAGGCTGGGGGGGGGAGCGGTGTGTGTGTGTGTGTGTGTGTCACTCGCCACGCGCTGCGCAACCTTTCCCCCTCTTCCTTCCTTAGCGGTGTGGGGAGGAGAGGATTCGAAGATCCTCACGTGCGGCGCTGTGCCCCGCTGTGTGAAATCCTGCCATCAAAGCAACACTGCGGGAGGCAGGGTATAAATTTACCAGGTTAATGTAGCAATGGTGATTAATGCCCAGAACATTGTTTGCGGGTATTGGGGTGTGTGTGTGTGTGTGTGTGGTGGTGGTGAGGAGAGGTTGTCCTTTGAATGCGGAAAAGTAGGTGTGACCTTGTGTAGGAAAATAAAGAGATCCTTTTTAGCGTGTTTGGCTTCTTTGCCTCCCCTCGTTCATTTTGACGTGGAGATAATGGCCTTCGGGCGGGAGGGGAAGAAAACGGTAGCTGGATCATTTCAAATTTCACTTACTCTCCTGCCTCACTTCAATATGTCTGAGCGACTCCAGATACTGGAAGACTTTTTGAATGAAAGTGTTACCTCCATTTTTTTTTTAAAGAGGGCCACTTGGGGAAAAAAAAAGATTCTAAGGAATTCCTTGTTTCTTGATTAAAGAGAAGGCATTGAATATACTGTTCCTTGGCAGCCTTTTCAGTGTCCGGGTTTTTGGTGTGTGTGTGTGTGTGTGAGAGAGAGAGAGAGAGAGAGAGAGAGATCAGCTGTATTGAGAAGAGAACGTTTCCTGTGTTCTCATTTTATTTACAACATATTTTACGCTTAATGGTAAGCAATGAAAAATATTTTTAAAACTCATTTCTAAACTCCATAGCTATTTGCATATTCTTGGTTCAAAATTGGATTAGCTCATTTCAAAATTGTCCAAAGCAGAAAAGTGCGTCAAAAAAAAAAAAAAAGTGCAAAAGTGGAAGGTGTGTGGAAGAGGGGGTAGTCTTATACGGCGAGTATATAACAAACTCTATATTTTGAGTGGAAATGTTGGGGGGTCGTCTTATACGCCCAGTCGTCTTATACACCGGCAAATACGGTATATCTAACAAACACATTATGTTTTGTAACTTGTTATGATCTAAAGTAATGGCAGGTCTGTACTTGAGAACAAGGGTTTCCATGAGATAGGATTTTGGATGGTGCACTTCCCAAGAGAAAAACAGGACAAGGAAACAAGTGTTACACTATAATAATATGGGTGTGGCGTAAAGAGATAAGCAGCTTGAATAGATTGTGAACCCAGGAAAGGGGCAGAGACTGTATATTTGAACCAGTATATAAACCCCAGCCCTCCTGGGGAAAATGTCTTCTGCCATGAGCAGAATTCCCTTTTGCAAAAGCTTAATAATAAAGCTCTTATATATTGTTCACATGTCTCCAAATTTCAGTTGTTTTGTGATTATTATCACACATGCTGTACCTGAACAAGAGAAATTAAGTAGCCAGGCAGGAAATATCACCCACTAATATTGAAATGACAACATATCAATTTGTCATTATTGAAGATCCATTCCCAAGTATTGCTCAGAATTTGTATTTTACCCTAATCCTAGCTCTATGGTTGCCAAAATGTCATATCGTTCCTATCGTTCCAGATGTTCTATGTACCAGATATTACACCATATATAATACCCTGGTGTTATAATATATTATACCCCAGTGTGCACATGTATCACCTCTCCTGCGGGAGCTACATTGGTTGCCGATTTGCTTCCGGGTGCAATTCAAGCTGCTGGTTGTCACCTTTAAAGCCCTTCATGGCTTGGGACCAGGTTATCTGACAGACCATCTCTTGCTGGTCACATCTCCCTGACCCATCAGAGCGGGGAGGCAGGGAATGTTGCGGATCTCATCCCTGAGGGAGATACACCTGGTGGGACCCAGAAGAAGGGCCTTCTCCATGTTGGCTCCCTCTATCTGGAACCTCATCCCCCCCAGAGATTAGAACGGCCCCCACTCTGATACTCTTCCGGAAGGTGCTGAAGACCTGGTTCTGCCAGCGGGCCTGGGTAACCCAGAGCAGGATGAAGCCCATTAAATGGCTTGTGTGATCTGCTGTTGCCAGGGCGGGGGGTGGAAGTTGGGGAGTGATTTTGTTATGTTGTACTATATGAATTTATTTGATACTTTTTGTTAGTTTTTCTTTTAAATGTGGTTTTATATTCTGTAACCTGCCTTGAGTCGCCATGGGTGAATAGGTGGCAATATAAATTCAATAAATAAATAAATATACTATTCTATGAATATATAAACAATAAACTACAACTATACTTGTGTAGTTTGCTTCAAAAGCTTTAATTTCTGAATAAATCTGCAGAAGATAGTACTACATTTTTGGTAGAAAGAATTTGCTTTCTTTGGGATGCAAATTCTTTCTGGTTTTTTTGCTACTGAATGTTTCTTAGTCTCTCAATTGCTTGAGCACTCAAGAGGCCACAACCACAGAGATTCCATCATCTTTCCTCGAGGTTAAAGTGACCAGAATTGAAAATATTAAACATAATGAGAATAAAATTACCTGCTCTTTGGCTTTGTTGAGGAACTGGAAGCAAAACCAAAGGCTGATTCCAAAAGCTGCACATGAATAGAGGTAAAATCGGTTCAGCCACAGGAAAGTTAAGTGAGCATGGATATTGTCCCAGGTGTCTGCAGGAGTATCTGAAACACAACATAACAAAATGCTACTATTTATAAAAGCCAGATATCAGGATAAATGGCGATTTTCTCTCTGGTGAGCATGCTTCAGACCAAATTAAAGGTGGCAGAATCATTGTATAATCTTAGAATTGTACTGTTTGACAGGGACCATTAAGGACATCAAATCCAACAAGCTGCTCAACTCAGGAGCCAAATTAAAGTATCTGAGATACATGGTACTGAAACATCAATTGCCATTCCTTAAATCTTTCTTTACAGAGCTTAATTTTTAGTCTCCTGATCATCTTTCTTGACGTTCTCAGAACCTGCTCAAAGTTATCTGAATCCTTCTCAAAGTGTGATACCCAGAGCCTTTTATAGTATTTAGACCAAAGCAGAAAAGAGTGGAACAATTATTTACTATGATTTAGATTAGAAATTCATTTTCTGTTGATACAGTCCTAAAATTGTATGCCTTCTTGTCAGCAACCTCATCATCCTTGCTCTTATTCCATTTGCACTCAGTTACTATACCCAGACCTTTTCCCCACCATCTGATATCCTCTATAAGTCATGTCCTCAGCAGGATCAAAAGGAGCAAGATGTTTGCAGCTTTGTCAAAACCCCATTAGTTTTATATTGTACAGATGTCAAATGCACATACAAAACATAGGGGCTTCAATCATACTGCCTCTTGAGTTTTTCATTTTTGTTTCCTAAGTAATTAGCATTAATTGTGGGCCTTGCTATGTATTTGACATCAACAGTTAATTCAGCTTTTGGTGGTATAGGATCCATGCTCTGCTGATCGTTTTATTATGATATATATTTGAGAGAGACAGCCATATAAATTGAATAAATATGAAATAAAGTGCTACTAGAGTTCAAACAAGGTCTGCCATAATGTACTTACGGTAAGTTTGACCATACTGTTTGGTTTTCTTGTATTTTATATTTTAGTTAAGTCTTACTGTTATTTTTACTGTACTTTTGTAAGCCATCCACAGCCATTACAGGAGTAAGGAAAATATAAATTTTATAAACTAATACCATATTTCCTAATCAAGGAAGAGCCAATAAATTTTGAGATGGGGAGTATAAGCTCTAGGCAATCACGAGTGAATACTTGTGCATAAACGTCACTAATTACTTTTTCTTAAATTTCACGTAACATTTAAGTAAATCTTGCAAAATCGTCCTATTTATTTTCACAGGAAACTTTCGACCGCTGCCCTTGACCAACCCAGCTTCCCAGCTTCTATGGAAATGATACAAACTCGTGACTGTTTAGATCCCGAATCTTCAGCGAGCTACAGGACTTCCGTGTGAATAAATCGCTTGTCAAAAACCTTTGCATGCTTTCTGGATCTGGAGAATAAACCGCATAAAGTCCAATAAGACTTCCTTCACAATGAGTAAATTTTTTCTCCTCCAAGTACTTACCCATGTCTTCCCTCCCAAGCAGCAAATCCCGATCTTATTAAACGATGTTTTCGGGATCGCAGGAAGGGGGTTATTCCCAAGAAGCCCCATTACTCGCCCCACGAGCTCGCAGGCGCAGCCATTTTGCACCTTCCACCCCCGGCATGCTGGGAAGAGGACATTAACCTCTCAATGGCCGAAAAGAAAGTTTCCCCCTCCAGCACCGGCGATCGCTGCAAAACGCTCTCCCTCCAAAGTGTGCATGGTTTTTATCAATAAAGAAGCATCTTCCCTCTCCAGAATCGAGTGTATCGGAGAGATTCGAAAATCCATGTGTTGGAAGAAATATCCATCTGGTTTCCTTTTAATATTTCTCAAAATGTTTCATTCATCTAGAAGAGGGATGGGTGCTAACACATGCATTTAAATAACACGGATCCTAAATGCTTCGCGTTGGAATGGGGTGGGTGGGAGACATTGAGCCATGGATGGTTTTAAAGGCATGGTTGGTTTAGAGTTCGTTATGCCAATCAAGCATCCACTGAAGTGATTAAAGAGCCTTCTGGGTCTGTGTGATATGAACAAACCACAACTGGCTTGTACATCGAGACAATTTAAACTGGAATGCAGGCAAATATACCTGTCCCAGCTTAGTGTTGCAGGATCCAATATGGGTCGATCACCCGGACCAAAGGTTTAGTTTTGTAAGCTTTCGGACTCATGCTGAAACTTCTCTCTAGCAGAGTGTGAGCCTCCGGCAGGAAAACTAAACCCCTAGTCCCGGTGTCCGACCCAGATCCTCACAATTTTAAACAAAATCATGTTTAAGTACGATTATATGAATCTGCACAGCGACAAGTCCAAGGTCATCAGTTCAAGGATTTGAAGACAGTTCTTCCTAAGCAACCGTACTGGCTATTTATTTATTTTTTAAACCCAAAACAATGGTGCTGCTTGCATTTTTTTTAATCAAACCTCTGCAAAAAAAAGGAGTCAAAATTATATCTCGGTTTTGTCTTGTTTTTAGCGGTCCCTCCTGGTAAGCCCTCTCACCCCCCCCCCCCCCCCGGGGTCACTTTTGAACGAGCAATCATTAATCCTCAGGATTGGTTTCCCACCCGAGTGAGTTAAGAACGGACTTTTGGAGAGCCGGTTCTCGCGAGATTTTGGGCACGTGTGTCGTCACAAGGGAGCGGCGGAAGGGGTTCTGCTGTTGACTTGTGTCCTGTCTAGCGGCGGCCGATAGTTGGAGCGTAATGGCGATCTTCACGCCGACTAACCAGATTCGCCTGACCAATGTGGCCGTCGTGCGGATCCGACGGGCGGGGAAGCGTTTTGAGATTGCCTGTTACCGGAACAAAGTCATGGGCTGGCGGAGCGGCGCGTGAGTGGGCCTGGGGCCGCAGGGGGAGGAACAGGAAAGTCCTGTCGCGTCCGCTGACATTCGACAAAGCCAGTTTGCGAGTTTACATGCAAGACTAACCTAAATAAATAATCAGTCAATAAATCCAGGGTTGATCTTTTCTTTTTTTTTCAATTTTGCAACTCCTAAGTTAACAACTTGCCTTAAAATGTTTACTTTAAGCATGTGCAAATCGTAAGGCTTAAACTCTGAACCATGTTGCTGTTATAAATCAACTATAGTATTTACACTTCTGTATTCATTTTATTTATTTAACTATTGTCTACTAACCGCAGTTCCTGGAACAATATAAACAGAGTAGTATGATAAAGAATAAGCAAATAGGTCAGAAGGGCATAATATAGAATAAAATCAAGGTTAAGTATTATTTCAATTTATATAGCTGCCCATCTCACTGATACGAGAAAAATGCATCTAAAGCTTGAGATAAATTTATATCCTATTTCTTTTGGCACTGACCAAAGGCTACCCCAGTTACACTAAGTGGAGTCATCTTTCAGAACAGATTTCAGTCACTAAACAATGAATATATATCTTCCTTATTTTGAGCTCTCAGACTAGAGAGACAAATGGTTACGAATCATTACCTCAATACAAGTGTTTCATGAACCTCCCTTCAGCTGAAAATGGGCAGAATTTATTATATGTGTTCTTGGGAGATTTACAATTTGCCAGAAAACAAAAAAATAGTCATACACTACCTCCTGTTTTATCAGTAAGTGGTGAAAATACCCTGCTCATTTAACTGTTTTATAAAATAAAAATAATGTTTTATAAAAATAAAAATAAAACACCATGGAGCCACTGCAAAAGGGGTAGGCAAATTTAAGCCTTCTGCACTTTCTTTCTGATCTTGTTTCACCACACAGTCACATGTACCCATGAGTGTGAGAGAACAAAGCAGCTGGAGCTGCCCCTGTGTCTTCCCCACATCCCCATATATGTGCTAGAAACTGGGAAAAATGACAATTTCAAAGTAGCTTCTTTCAAAACTGGACTATACAAGGAATTCAGGACAAAATAATAAATGATTAACATAGGAAACAAAATATGATGAAGGTGCTTTGCCATAGCCATGTTTTGTTCTAGTTTTATACAATATGCAACTCTTTAATTTGCCTTAGTTATGTGAATGTACCTTTTTCAAAATTCTCATCCTTCTGATGGTTATAGAAAACTTTATGACATAGAACTCACTCCCAAGTAAAGAACAATGTAAACTTTTGTTTAAATTATTTAAATTTCTATTCCCCTGTTTGCAATGCAAATCAAAAAAGATAAATCTGTGCAATGTATTTATTGCCTTGTAACACTCTAGCCTATCTCTCTGCACTTCTTCCATGGCAAGAATTTTTAATAGGTCCTCCTTGGAAAACTTAATGGGTAGATTTGGTTTTGAAAAGACATTGCCTGATATGGCTTTAAAGAAAATAACCAACATTTTGACTTAGGTCTGCAATAGCGCTTAGGCTTATATACCCCTTCACAGTACAGCCCTCTCTAAGCAGTTTACAGAGTCAGCATATTGCCCCCAACAGTTTGATTCCTCATTTTATTGACCATGAAGGATGGAAGGCTGAGTCACCCTTGAGCCAGTCAGGATCAAACTGCTGGCAGTCGGCAGCCTGCAATATTGCATTCTGACCACTGCACCACCTTAGCTCAGTGGTTAGAATGCAGTGGTTAGAATGGAAACTAGCAACCAGTACAGTGATCTTAAAATAGGTGTTATGGTATACTGACAAGGTAGTCTCACAATTTGCAGCTTTGAATTCATTCCCAAGGGCAGGTCCCCATAATCCAATGATCAGGACATGAGATACTGCCTTCAGAGCAATTTGTTTAAGTAGAAGCTGCAATACTAACCAAATTTGGGTGAAGCAATAGCATTTAGCAATAGCATTTAGACTTATGTATTGCTTCACAGTGCTTTATTGCCCTCTCTAAGAGGTTTACAGAGTCAGCATATTGCCCCCAACAATCTGGCTTCTCATTTTACTGACCTTGGAAGGATGAAAAGCTGAGTCAACCTTGAGCCTGGTGAGATTTGAACTGGCCTGGTGAGATTTGGCAATAAGCAGAAGTAGCCTGCAGTACTGCATTCTAACCACTGCACCACCACAGCTCTTCAAGCCACTCAAGGATGGCTACCTGTTTACTGGTAAATAGCAGATAGGACTTTGCCTTTGGACTAGTATTGCTTTTTGATTAAGATGTTTCCTAATCATTTGTGTATTTTTAACCAAAATACAAGTTTGTTGCTTGACAATATGTCGTTGCCAGTTCAGATAGAACTCTGCAATTATTCACTACAGTATCCTGCTTGTGGAATGTAGCAGTTTAATTTGATTCCCCTGCCATAATAATAAAATCAAAGGCAGTTTTAAAGAGCAGTAATCAGTATGGATTAAACAAGACTATCCAAATACTTTGGTTGTTTGCATGCATTATTTAGAATGTGATTAACAAGTAAAATTAATTTTCTAGTGAAAAGGACCTTGATGAAGTATTGCAGACACACACAGTGTTTGTGAATGTCTCCAAAGGTCAAGTGGCAAAGAAGGAAGACCTCGTCAAAGCATTTGGCACAGATGATCAGACAGAAATCTGCAAAACAGTAGGCATTGAAATTGTGCAAAAATAATGTGTTTCTTTTGTCTCATTTTATCTTTCCTCAACTTTTAAAAAGAACTTCAAACAATATATCAGAAACAATAGATAGTATAAGCCCTTTATGCATTTAGGTCAACCTGGGATCAGTGTTTAGGGTACTTGAGACCACTAAGCTATTGAAGGTGATTTGGGCTGATGAAGTATAATAAGATCTAGCCCAAAATCAACATGGGAGTTTTCGTGGTTGAGTATGGACTTCATCTGGCTCTTCAGTCCTAGTCCAATGCTATATTCCACTGACTCTCTTTTAAATATTTCAGAAATTGAACTCAAACAAAAAAAAAAATCTTTCATGGCTTCATCCCATATTGCTTGTTCTTGAGTAGGTTAAAATATTATGCAATTTATGCTCTGATTTACAGATTCAGTCTTCCATCGCCTTGTTGATATTATTAATTAAATTGTTTGCCACCCATCTGCAAAGCAGTTCTTATGGTTAACAATATTTTACATTTATTGTTAATAGCAGTGCTTACTCAGCCTTGGATCATTGTCAGAAGAGTATCAGGAAGAGTTTTAGATTGTAAGGTAGACTGGGAAGACAAAATCCTGAAAGAAGGACAAGCCCCTGCAGTTTACTTGACAAGGCTTTTCAAAAAGGACTGAAAGAAAATGACTGGCCCAAGGTCTTCTGTATTGCTGCCCCCAAAACTATACAGACATCTCCATGTAATAACCAAGGGTGAAACTTAATTTGAGAAAGTCAGTATTTCTACTTTGTAATTTGCAGGGATTCTTTAGGACAGCCATTCTCGGGTGCGATTCTACCGGTTAGGCCTGGTTCTCCCGAACCGGTAGCTCTGAAGAACAGCTGAGACCAAACTGGTTCGCTGCAACGGTCTTCTAGTCTTCTGTTTGGCCCACCCGCCCGCTCGGGCTCTAGACTGTGCTTTATTCCCTGCTTTTGCCAACTCAGCTGCTTTGCATGGGACAGCTGAGTTCCGCGCATCAGCAGGAGAAGGTGAATGCTGGCAGGAGCCGGTGATTTGTAAAGAGTGCCCATGCACATGTAGCGTGCATTTGGTGCGCATGCACGCAAAGCACATGCTCACCAAAACGGTTGTT